CCACACTGATGAAGTACAGCTTGTAGTCTGTGACGGTCAAAGTCCCAGTAACCAGACCGCTGAATGGACAAATGTACATCACATCCTTGACTGTAGGAAAAGGAAAGCGCCGATTACACAGGTGTATTTGTATGACTGGACAATACACATAGAGACTAGGAAGAATGAAGGTACCTGTAGTTTGGATGGTCTCTCCAGGGAGCAGAGGAACCTGGTTCTGGAACATTTTGACCTGTGCTCCGTATCTCAGACCTGGGAGGGTCTGCAAAGATCACAGATCACTCAGTGGGACCACTACACACCTGTTTTATGCTAGCTAGTACTTGCAGACACATCGTTATCAAGCCTGTAATGGAGAGGTATTTTGCTACTGTTGCAAAATAAACTCATCAGTGTTAGAACAATAATCCTTTTTGCTAAAACATATAGTTAGAGCTGGATCCTCCCTTAGTTATGCTGCAATAGGTGTAGGCTGCTGGGGGATTCCCATGATGCACTGGGTGTTCCTTCTTCACTCACTAAAGCTGTGTCCCAAAGTGCTCCAACGTTTTCGGAGACATCTGTCACCCACCAGCTCGATAGCTAGCCGGGGTTCAATGGTCACTCGAGCCAGCGAGAACTGCAAAATCCCCGCACGCTGTTTTCAGACTCCCGCCGTGTTTCGCTACTGAGGTTAAACATGATATATCAGTCACTTAGATAACTTAAAAATGTTAATGTTTGGCTTTTTTCAGTATTTTATTTGTTCGTGAGTAAATCGGTTTGGCTGAGATTAAAGTTATAGTTTTTATACAGCTGGATAAACGTCAAAAGAGACCGTCGAGAGTTTGCTCCAGCGTCCTGTTAAATTTTAGATAGCAAGGAGCAGACGGCCGAGTTTATTAAACTCCACCGAGACAGCTAGTGTTGCAAAACTGAAGGCTGGATCGTCCAATTTCAAAGCTCTGCACTTCCGGCCTCCTCGGTCTACTTGGGCCGAGAAGGCCTCCAAAGGAGGCCGGGTCCTCCTTACTGCAAAGGATACATCCTAGGTTTTGGGACACAGCTTATGTGTTAACAGACCTCTCTGCACTGAATCATACTTGTTATTAACCTCTGTCTCTCTTCCACAGCATGTCTTTATCCTGTCTTCCTTCTCTCTCCCCAACC